AATCAATCTTCTCATGTCCAAGATCAAGCTTTGTAAGTAATTTTTTTGCATCATAATACCTGTTAGGTACTCGATTATCGGGACCCATCAAATGGTTAATATACTCAAATATCTGATCCATTGTTAGCTGCGGTATATTAAAAGTTGTCTTGATATTCATCATCCTTAATGTATATGCCAGCTCTGTTTCTTCACTAACATTCATTGATAAAGGTTGTCTTGCAGCATTTAACAAATCATAGAAGTTTTGTGCACTACTATGTGGCTCTTCATCTTGGTAATTCTCAGCATTTAGTGGGAAAAATGATGGACCAGATGCATCAAAAATCATTTGTTCATACCGATTATTTTCACTAGGGACCTCATTCATATTCGGTTGTATTGAGGGGGGAAGCTCATCGTGACACGTCCAAACCCAATAATTCGGTTCACAACCCTTATTATACAAATGAACACGAACATTATCTACAGACAAGTGTACTCTATTCCTATACTTACTATATGGACACCTAATCTGCATTGAAACCTCGTAACCATGAAGTCTGGTTGCATAATTTATAAATTCCTCAACACTGGCTAAAAACTCATTAGTGTACCCCCCCTTCTTCCTGGTAACAATCGGTTATACATCCATTTTCGATGTTCAGGTATATTAGCCATGTAAAACAACTGCAAAAGTATATACAATACAAATACAACATATATAAATAATTTAAATTATTATATTATGAACATACTAATAATAAATACACAACAAATAAATTAAAATTCAATATTAAAAAAATCATAAATATACAAATAATTCTAAACACAAACATAACTAAATAAACAAATTTTACACACACACATGTATATATATGCACACTACATAAATAAATAAATTTATAATGTATTCACAAAAATATATACAAAAAAATAAAGCTAGATCTACAAAACAAATCAACATAAATAGAAATTTTAAAAATATATACACATACCTTAGCTTGATTTCAACACTATAGTGAAAAAATCTCATGCAAAAAAAAAATAAAATAAAATAAAATACAAAAAGGTTCAAACTAGCTACTAGATCTATAAAAAAAAAATGATATAAATGGAAGTTCAAGTATATATACATATCTTACTTGATTTCTACACTATTGTGAGTGCTTTAGCAAAAAACATCCACCAAACATGAAGAAATGTGTGGAAAGAGGTAAGAAACAAAATAAAAATAAATAAAAAAAGAGAAGTATGGAAACTGGGCAGAAAGTCTACCGAGCAGAGGCAAGTATAAAGGAATTTCCGACCACCGACAAATGATCGGAAAAAAGTCAAATTTTAAAATAATAGCCCAGTGATGTTCCGACCACTATTGGGAAGTGGTCAGGAACTTCCGACCACATCCAAGATGTGGACGGAAACTTCCGACCACATAGGTGGTCATAATCCATCCGGACACGGGTTGAAAATTTTGTAATAACTTACCGACCACTTTTTATGTGGTCGGAAATGTCCGTCCACTATTGGTAAGTAGTCGGAAATTTCCGACCACTCTATCGCTTGACGAAAAAGGAAAAAAAATTCAACTTTTACGACCATTTTTTGAAGTGGTCGGAAAATCACTGTTTTCCAGCCGTGATTGATGGTTCACGCACTATGCACGCGTCACTCGCTCAGGACATTTTCTCCCCTTTTTTTCTCCACATTGGAGATGCCATAAGACAATTTGGAAAACATGTGTTTAATAAATATAGAAAAAATGATAATTTCGCCCTTGAATTATAGTGATATAGTCTTCTTCTTCTTTTTTTTCTCCTTTCAATTATAAGCACACTTCTACATTTTTATCTTAGTTATTCTCAAAGTCAAGCTTAACACAACCATTAAATATAGACACACTAGTTTGAAACCTTAAATTTTGAAGAACTTTTATATAACCCTGTATGCATCCCACATCTGTTACTATTAGAATTTTGCTAATATATAAGATTTGAACAAACCTACACTCATAAACTAATTAACTTCTGTGATATAGTTAGTGCCTGAGTTCATATCACCAAATAGTTAATTTCTCCTACTATAAACACTATTATTTTTATTTTTATTTGTGCAGATATGGAAATATCATGCATTTCCATCTTCAATTGCCTTTGGAAGTTTGACCTTCAACATCTGGCTTCATCATCAACAACAAAATATCAAATTAAATGTTTTAATTACTACCCCCGAATAAAGACAAATACATTTCTTTAATTGTCTCCTTCGGATAGAAACAATTAACATTTCTTTGTCTATGTGGATTTGAGGATGAATTGAAGTTCATTGAAGTCCCTTTGGAGATGGAGATGGAGACAGAGAACTTGGTCTCTAGTTTATACGCATCAAAAGAAAAGAAAAAAATAATTGGTATTGAAGGATCTAAAAAGAATGAATCATATGTAATTAGAGGATAATTGACTAGACATTAGTATAAGAAAATTATGTACATTAGAATATAATATACTCCGTATCATTTAATTTTAATAACTGAATTATTATAGGTGATAGTAATTTAGTATAAATAGGTCCATTGTATATCAGGAACCACTCAGAGAAATATTATGGAGCCGTTTACTAACAGAAAATTTTTGGGAATTTTCGGAAACTGGAAAATAGAAAACAGAAAATATGTTTACTAAAACAGTTTCCATTTTCAAAACTGAAAATAATTTCTCAAAATTTCTGGAAAACTGAAACACAATTAAAAACTGTTTTCAAAATAGAAAACAGAATCATCTATCATCTATTTAGTTATATATGTTACTATAACCACATTACTATGATTACGTTCATTATCATCTTATTTTACTTATCACTATCTTCTATCTTTTCTACTTGCCATACTTATTTAAACATAATTTATTTGCTTACACTTTAAAGTTAGACATTATTTACATTATCAAAATTAAGAATTAAACTCTATATAGTGTTTTAGATTTTGATTGAACCCAATAGATTATTAGTTCGAATATTTTTAATTATGTTACATCATAATACAAGTTCGGTCTAGATATTGGATATTGAAATCTCACATATATTAGAATTCAAAGTAAAAGTTATATATTCATATACATGTCATTCAAATGAATATATCAAAAAAAAAAAACATTTTAAATATTAGCTCACAAATATTAATATTATCTAAACTAAATTTTAGGTGAAAACTAAAAAATTAAAAAACAGATAACAGTTTTATGTTAGTAAACAAGTTTTCTAAACAGAAAACAGAGAATTGAAAACAGAGAATGAAAACTGAAAAATTAGAAAACGAAAACAGAGAACAGTTTTCTGTTAGTAAACGGACCCATATTATTATTTTACTATTTTAACTATTTTTCTTGGTGCTCTCACATACTCAAAGTGTGAAATTGAAGCTTGCTCGAAAGGTTTCCTATCAGGTACTAGGCCAGCAGGTCCATGCCTTTTACGAGTACATTAAATGCGTCACCATTGCTGCACAAGTTTTTCTTTCTTTTTTCCATCAGTCCTTATTATAACAAAATTTAATTATAACCAACCTTTTAATATTTGAAAAGAATGATTTTCATCATATAATTGAATGAACCCAAAAGGAATGTTTTGGACATGGGATTGGTTACTGTGGCGTTTTGTCTACATTGATTGTGCTCTGGACTCTGGAGAAGTGGGGGTTGGTAATAGATTAATTAGGTGTGACCCAATTATATAAGCTTCCGCCAACTAGAGGTCAACCCAGATTTGTTTCAATTATTATACCATCAACCAGAGTTTACATTGCACTATCGACTCTGATTAATGTGTTTGTATGTACATTATGACTTTTTGTATCTTGTGTTATGAAATTATATACTTTATGAGTATAAATTCTGTATCTAGAACAAATTAGTAATTGTGTCTTATGTTATAAATTTATGTGTCTTGTGTTATGAAATTTTGTGTCTATAAACTAACACAAATTATGTACTTAAATTAGATTTAAAAAATAAGTAAATATATAACATGTTTATATTTCTTCAAGCACAAATTTCCATTGCAAAGAACAAAGTAAAATTCAAGCAAAAAAAAAATAGAGAAGAAAGTCACATTATAAAAAATCTACAATGAAGAAGAAAGTCACTATGTCTACAAGAGAAATCCTGAACTACACTCAAAAATAAAAAAATCTATACACATTCGGTGATACAAAAGAAAAGAAAAAAAAAAACCAAATCAAGTTACCTGTTGTTAATTAGTATTACCAACTATTTAGTCAAATTGAATAAATTTGGTTTATATAGGAAAGGGAAAATGGTCAAATAAGCCCTCGAATTTTAGCTTAAAAGTCAATTAGGCTCTTAAACTTTTTAAAGGTGCAATTATATCCATCAACAATTCATTTAAGTGCAATGAAGCCCAAAAATGACCTGCTATCACAGGTCATTAGGGTTCAGGCCACCTTCCGGCGAATTTTCCGGCAAAAAAAAAAAAAAGTAACTGGCAAAATTTTCGACAAAAGAAGTGACCGGTGAAATTTTTGGCAAATCTGGGTTGGTTGCTTGTCACCTTTTTTTTGTCGGAAAATTCGCCGGAAGGTGGACTGAATCCTAATGACCTGTGATAGCAGGTCATTAACTTGTTTTTGGGCTTCATTGCACCTAAATGAATAGTTAATGGGTGTAATTGAACCTTTAAAAAGTTTAGGGGTCTAATTAACTTTTAAGCTAAAGTTCAAGGGCCTATTTGACCCTTTTTCCTATAGGAAATCAATTATTCCGTATAATTCTCTTTAGTTGAATTGTCTAATTACATTTCTGTATGTAATTTAGTATTCTGTCCAGCCCTTTTTTTTCCAAAAGAAGAAGGGAAATATTCAAAAAGAAAGGAAAATACCATACCTTTTCAACTCAGAAAATGAAGATCATTGTTGACATAAAATGCTTCATTATTATTTTTTTTTTAAATTATAAATGTTCTTACATATGAAAACAAAAAAAAAAAAAAACAAAAAAAAAAACAAAAAAAAAAAGATGTAAAAGAAAAACAAAAACGTATACAATGGTATACTTACAATCTCATCATACTACAGAAAATTGAACAGAAACCAAAAGAGAATGTGCTGCCTACATGATTGAGTTGCCCATCCATTTTCATCTTAGTAAATCTTGAACCATAAGATCCTACAAGCTTTCAGCACATATATATATAGGCAGATGAGATTAGTCCACACGCTCTCGCTACTATTTCTTTTTCGATCCTAATTATATATATAAATCTTGAACCATAGTCCACACGCTCTCGCTACTAATTTAGTTTGAATGTTTTCCCCCACTTTATGGCAGAAATCAGCACTGTATTGGGAACTTTTCTGCAAATCTTTTGGCCATTGCAGATGACAAACATTTGCTCCAGTTACGACATTTTGGCCCTTGCGAAAAGGACTCCGGCAAGCAGGCCTGGAAGTGCAACTTTAAGGTTGAGTACAGTATAAATCAACAACAGCACTTGAAGAACAGGTGTTCGATAAACTAAAGGAAAATGACACTTTTGATATCTAAATTACATAGTTTTTTCCTGCCTCAAATCCCCCTTAGTATCCTCAAAATAGCTAATTTTATCCGACCCTTAATAGAACCAGTAATTATCAACAAAGCAGTCTGGAATTCTAAAATTTGAAGAATTTTTATATGATCTTAAGATGTTGTAACATCTTATTCGAGATGGTATCTTAAAATTACATAAAAGTCCTTTAAATTTTAGGGTTGTAGACTACTTTATCAATATTTAACGGTTTTGTTAAGGGTTTGTTACGGTTAGCCACTTTGAAGATAGTTAAGGAGGAAAATGTGGTGTGCCTATAATTGAGGGGAAACAAACACTATATCAATATTATTCAGAGGTCAAAAGTGTCATTTTCCCTTAAACGTAAAAATCATTCAAATTACCGAAAAGTATGCTGAACAAATTGGGAAGACTCAGGGGGACCTTGAACAACACAAGGCCACTGATAGATATGGGAATCTTGTTTAAGGAACCCACAAGACTGTAATGAAAGAGCAAATTGTCAGCACCAAATTATGGCAAAGCCAGCTGAGATATGTATCAAAAGATCTAATTTTGCAAATGTAGCTTTGTTCATGCAGCAAAGCAGATCCAGTTATCGATCTAATGCCTTCATGAACCGATATAGTCAAACTTGAAGGAACATATAATGTATTACCTGTAAGTTGTTGGGCCAGTTTGATTCAAAAACCACATTGATGTGAAGCTAATGGCAAGCCCTAGTAGTCCACTAGCTGTTGCAGCAACCCAAAACATTGGCGTCCTAACTACTTCGCTGTCGGATGAAACAGAAAACAGTATGAGAATCTACTTTTTTCGTCTCCAGAGATTGAGACTGCTCAGTGTAATAGCTTGGGTTTCTTTTCATTTATAACAATAAACTTATCAGGAAGTAATGATAAAGGTAGCATGCTTACGCATTCATTACGTACTCCCATTCGTCGAACAGGAGAATTAAGCCGATGGCAAATGGTAAAGATAATGCATTGTTCAACAGCACCATTGAAGCTTCGTTAAGAGATCCAGATTTTGTCAATTGCTTGGCTCTGTCCATGATGCGTCTCAGTGTGAGCTGTTGCAATAAATGCCCCATGACAACCAGAAAAACAGTTTATAGATATAAGAAACATAGAACACTGAACTTTTTACCACATGATTTAAAGAGGTCCGAAAGCAAACATGTAAGGAATGGCACAAGTGAAACAGAGAAATGATGGAAGCATAATCTACAGTACCGAGTAGCTTGCAGTTAGGACACAATTAAGTGACTGCCATGCATAACCAGTAGAGTCAAAAGAGAGATCTGTTATGCCTCCAGATATGGCTGATATAATCTGCAGTCAAAAGGGAACTAATCATCAACAATGAGCGAAAAACTAAAATGAAAATAATTATAGTATTACAACTATTTACAAGAGCGCAAAGCATTCCTCTTCTTAAATGAAGCCCAATGGTTTCTTCCATATGGAAAATAACATACCATAAGAAACATGGCTGTCCAAACTTGCTGCTTCTGTCTCTTCCGGAAAACATAATACTCTCCTATTGCTGTTAAAATATTTGTGACATTCTTCAGAATGGTCACCATTGCAACATTTATGTATTTCAAACTGCAAAGATGCAGTGTAAATATCATTGACAAAGCATAGTACAGCTATGCAATGGTATTTATATTAACTAAGGCTTATATCAGATTTACCTATACATTCCTGATATGAGCATGCCAATGAAGATCAAATTAACAGGGATCCAAACCTTGATTAGCTTCCAATTGAGTTTCTCTAGTGAAACTGCTCCAGAGAAACCCAATATAACAATTACAGCAGTACTGATAAGATTCTGCAACAAGCGTGAAAAGATGAATTGATTTGTTCATAGATCAAAACATTTCATTGGGGGGTTTCTAGATGACCCAGTAGAGACATTTGGGAAGGGTTGGATTTTGAGATGTGAACAGAATTAAGTTGTTCATTTAGAAACGGGGTTTCTGGAAACTGAAAGTTCTCAAACAGTTCAAATTAAGAAGTCTTCTTTTGAAGCCTAAGATAATAAGTTAGGGAGTCTTGCACATTTGACACTCCTCAACTGGTCACAGGAATGGAGGTGGACAATTTAAATATTTAATAAAAGGAATTACCTGGTAAAACATCAATGAAATACCAGCACTAAAAGAATAACTTGAAAGAACAACTTTGTTCATTAGGATCATGGCGCAGGAAGAAAGACAATATGCTGCTCCAGAAACAAGGGGCCCGGATTTTCTTTGAGATCCATATTCTCTTTTTCCTTCTCCATTAAACATAGGATTGACACCATCACTTAGTGCTCTATTATCTTTGAAAAACCTGTGAGATGTGAGAGTTAGTATTCTGAAAATTATTTACTAATTGCTTATCAATTCAGAAAACATTACAATAGCTTCCTTGATGAATGGAAGTATAACCTGAGGTCAAAAGTTCATATATGACTTATGAGAGCAATTTTATGCAAACAATGCTGAAATTTGGATCTTTTCTTACACCATATTGCTTTTGCACTATCCAAATGATCATCAAATATTGTGTATAACAAGCTTGAAATGTTGAAATTGTTCTTGAAGTTCAAACAAAAGACAGAAGAAACATACTGATATGAACATGTATTCTTTAGTAAAGTAAGAAACATTATGTTTAACCAGTGGATTCAAGCCATTCAAAGGGCACTCCATCTACCTGCAATGATTAATTTTCCAGTGCTCATGTGACGGAGCAAAATATGAAAAAGGCTCATGATCTTCATTGAACATAAAATAAACTCAGCCAAAACTCCAAAGAATCAATCTCAAACACGGCTCATTCACTATACATAACAAAAACGTTTGATAAATGAACTCTAAAATCACACACCTGTCACTTGATGCATGTGTTTTGTGTAACACATTGAATCTTTCAGCAAATGCTGACTTTCCATTTAAAGGGCCATAATCTGGTTCCTTAGCATCATGATAGATAATTGATTCTAGTTTTATCTCAGTCGACATCGATTCCTATGATATCAAGAGAGAAGACAATGAATAGAAAACAGAGATCATGAATGAAGTAAATTAAACGAACCCGCTTTGGGGGCATAGTTTGAGAAAGAATTTAAACTTAGATAACTAACTAACGGTCCTGAGCAATTAAAATCAAAATCAGAATTTGGAACATCAAAATATGGGGAAAAGGCTCATTATGGAAACTTTAAGCAATTAAACTGAACAATAAATTTTATGCCTAACAAAGAAGACTACACTTACCTTTGAATCCTCAGAAGCTTACAGTCCACAGATAAATCAATCTCCAGAATCCTGAAGGATCTCGCGCATCCAGTTCACGAACATATAACGAGCTACAACAATCCTCCTGTTGAAAAGATGAATCGAAACCTTAAACTCCAAAAATTTGACGAAAATGTACGAAATACGAAAAGGATCCCACGCGGACGGCGCGGTGAGGGAACAGAAAGTATGAAAATGAGGGCGGAAAGCAAAGGTGAATGAGTGAAAGAAGACGTGAATCAGAGGAAGAAGCAATAGCAGCTAGGGTGCATTAATTTCAAATTTCAATCCCAACAATTCACATTATAATAACATGCAAAATAAATAAAAAAATAAAAAATCATGATTGGAACCTACGCCCGATTTGTCAGAATTTAATTCCGGGAAATGATTTCTAGGCGGAGGATCCTCATCCTCCGCCATTAGTCAACCTTCCTTTTTGTTTTATTTTCTGTGAAATCTGGCTTGGAATATAAGAAATTAGTAGGAACATGAATATTGTGATCGCAGGAGAGAGCTGCGATGAGCAGCAAAGGTCCGTTTTTGAACGTGTTGATTCAAGATTTGCGCGGAAAACATGGCGGGTACTGCTCAAACCAGTGGGCTTAATTGGCACAATCTTCCATGTGGGCCGATACTCTCCGTTCGACTATAGAAAGCAATCCATAGAAACAATCCTACCATGAGTCTATAGTATAAAAATTATAAATCTATAATATAAAAATTCAATCGTTATGCGTTGGATCCGTGTCCAGCATGTTTGCTGGACACGAGTAATAGCGGCACTATTATCTTCTTCTTCTTCTTTTTTTTTTTTTTTTCAGACCGCTTCGTTATAGGAGTATATGTTCATAATTTTATTACTATTTAATAAATGTACATTCATAACTCCATAACTGTACGTTCATAACACTATAACTGTACATTCATAACTCCATAACTGTACATTCATAACTCCATAATTGTACATTCATAATTTTCGAAGCTCTATGTTCACAATTTTAGAGCTCTATTTTCATAATTTTATCACTATATGTTCATAATTGTAAGTTCATAATGTTAGAGCTCTTTGTTCATAATTCGATCAATAACTGTACATTCATAATTCCATAACTGTAGATTCATAACTCCATAACTGTACATTCATAATCTTTGAAGCTCTATATTCACAATTTTAAAGCTCCATGGTCATAATTGTAAGTTCATAATGTTAGAGCTCTTTGTTCATAATTCGATCAATAACTGTACATTCATAATTCTATAACTGTAGATTCATAACTCCATAACTGTACATTCATAATCTTTGAAGCTCTATATTCACAATTTTAAAGCTCCATGGTCATAATTTTATCACTATATATGTTCATAATTGTAAGTTCATAATGTTAGAGCTCTGTGTTCATAATTTCATAATTGTATAACTGTACATTCATAACGGCATAACTGTACATTCATAACGGCATAACTGTACATTCATAATCCAAAAAAAAAAATAACGCCGTTAACGGCAAAACGCGCGCGATTTTTTTTTTTAACTAACGCGTTTTTTTTAAAAAACGACATCGTTTTGGACCGGTGTCCACAATTCAGTGTGGACACGGGTCCAGGGCATAATTTGCCATAAAAATTATGAGTCTATAATATAAAAATTATGAATCTGGTGCACACGGTTATACCGCATAATTTGCCACAATTGTCCTACTCCTACATTTCCTTGTATTATTTCATTCTTTCAAGTGTTTCTTAGACCCATAGTTCACTTTAGGCTATTATTTGTAAAAAGAGGCATGTCTCCTTTGGTTTGGATGGCTAGGGGCCTTTCTTCCTTGCTTTGGCAAATTATATCGTGCACTGCGGTGCATAATCAATTATGCACCGCGAATCAAAACGACGTCGTTTTATTTAATGGAAAAGAAATGGAATTCGCAAAAAAATAACTCTGTTCTTCAGTTTCATTTTGTATACACTGTAGTTTTAGTTCAACATAACTACAGTTTCATTTCGATATAACTACAGTTTCATTCAATATTTATACACTCAAATATGTGAAAACACAACTACATGACCATTTCAATATAATTTCAGCTTCATTGTACAATATACACTCAAATATGTAAAATGTTATTCAGTTTCATTTTATATATACTGCAGTTTCATTTCACCACAACTACAGTATCATTTTGATATAAGTGTAGTTTCATTTGATAATATAAAGTTATATGTGAGGCAGTGTCGATTTAAATATAATGTAGAGTCACTCCGTTAACACTGCGCGGTGCATAATCGATTATGCACCGCGGTCCACGATATAACGACTCCCTTGCTTTCTGTAAGACTTTTCTGTGAGGCAGTGTCGATTATGTTCGTAATAAAATTTTGTTTACCCTAAAAGAAGGTTACTACTTGATTGATATATTGGAAATGGCCCAATAATAATAGAGACCCGGGGTCCAGGATGTATAACACGAGTAGCCCAAGAAGACTCTCAAGCCCGGAGCCTGCCTACGGGCCGAGAATGATGGGCCTTGACTTAGTCTCACGGCCCACCGCATGGGCTTGGACTTATTCTTACGGCCCACCGCATGGGCCTTAACTTAGTCTTTTGGCCCATCGTGCAATTAGCGAGTTAGTTAGGGTTATTTTGTATAAATAGGCATGTGTTTGTCCTATTAAGGGGACACCTTCTATCTTGTCTTGATCTTCTACTATAATAGCTTTACACCTGTCGTAATCGGCTTATCAATTCACTAATCAATACAAAATTGTCTCCGCGATATATATTTATTTCGCCATTATTTTACCCTGGCTATCCATTTATTATTTCACTTATTTATAGGATTTAATAACTCGGACCCTCGGGTTAATTAAATCCATCACTACTCTTTTTTGATTTTTTATAAAGTAGTAGTAACTTTGGATTTTACTAATACGATTTATTGCTTTATAAGTTTCCCTCGCTTATATATCACCTAAAAACTTAGAAGTTAGTAGTAACTTAACTTTAAATTAATCAAAAAATGTGAGTTTTAATTTTTAAACAAACAATGAACGGAGGATTAAATTCATTTTTCTTTTTTTACAACTATGGGAACTTTGTTGAATTGCAGCAAAGAATGCCCCGATACGTTGCTTCAACGATGCGCACTTGGCAGAAGCGATGACTATAAAGAAAGCGTTGTCATGAGCGAATGAACAAGGACTACAGAGGGTGGTTATTTTCACTGATTGTCAAATGGTTTGTCACCTTCTCAACGACTCGGTTTTGGATTATTCTTGTACGGGTTGTGTTATTAGTCAATGCCGTGATCTTAAACGACACTTTGAAATAGTGTCTATACATTATATTCCTAGATCAGTGAATAAGTTGGCTCATTATGTGGCTAGAGCTGCTCATTCATCTGCTGATCCTTTTGTTTGGATTGATTCTATTCCCCCTTGTATTGAATCTACGATTTAATATAATTCTGAAGTTTGATTTAAAAAAAAAAAAAAGTTAATAGTCACTACTTTTTATATTACTCTATAAATTAATTGACCGTATTATTAATTAATTAATTAAACAAAGTAAAATATATTTTTTGTACTACTGACTTTGTTATAATGCAGTATCTGTCATAACTACTTTCTCTCTTTTATATAATACTAGTTTTTTACGCGCATTGCGCGATTGGGATAATGCCCAATGTTTTTTTTTTAATAAATACTTTAAAGTATATCAAGGCAAGATTATATTGAATTGTTCATGCATAAATAATTGAATGTTGAATTTGCATATTTAAATAGGTAATTCTAAGTTTACAAATGCAAGATAATACAGTCAAGATTGATTATAATTGTCAATAAAATAATTGTATAGGTATGGTTGAAACCAAATACGGGACATAAGGAGAGCAAATAAAAATTAGGCCATAAAATATTAAATATATACTAATATTGAAGGGCTAACTACTGATTGCCAAACAAGGACATTGAGAGTTGATTTCCCACTTCAATTTGTGGTGTGATTTTAATACTTTTTTTGTCAATAAATTTCCTAAGTAGTTAATATGATTGACTTAATTTTTTTTAAAAAACAATTATTATTATTATTATTATTATTATTATTATTATTATTATTATTATTATTATTATTATTAAATATAAGTATACCTTTAGGTCATTTTACCTGTTAATCTAAACAGCTAATTTTTTCAAATATTTTTTTACCAACTGTTTATATAATTCGCTGGTCAAATCCACTAATATAATCCGATAACGCTAACCGCTAACTACTGATTGTCAAAGAAGGACATTGCGAGGTAGTTCTCACTTCAATTTGTTGTGTGATTTGAATACTCTCTTTGTCAACAAATCCCTCAAATAATTAATATGATCGGCTTTATTAATTATACTAGTTTTTTACGCGCATTGCGCGATTGAGATAATGCCCAATATTTTTCTTAAATAAGTATTTTAAAGTATATCAAGGCAGGATTATATTGAAATTGTTCATGCATAGATAATTGAATGTTGAATTTGTGTACTTAAATTGGTAATTTTAAGTTTACAAATGCAAGATAATATAGTCAAGATTGATTATAATTGTCAATAAAATAATTGTATGGGTATGGTTGAAACCAAATACGGGATATAAGGGAGAGCAAATAAAAATTAAAGTATAAAATATTAAATATATACTTATATTGTGTGAGGAGATTCCGGCGGTAGGATTTGTGATTAAAGTTCTATTAAGACTTTAATATTAGAATTAGATTAATGTTGTAGTTATAATTCTATATTAGACTTTAATATTATAATTAGACTAACGGTGAATTAACGGTACTTAATGGAAAAGTTAACGGATCGAATAATCATATAATTAAGGATAAATTAAGAAATCTCAAAGAAAAATTAAAATCTGAACAATCTGAACTATTCATTTGATTTAATAATTTGACAGTCATTTTTCTACCCAATGTTTATAATTAAATAAATATTTAAAAGTATATCAATGCAAGATTATATATGAGATATTCAACATAAGTAATTTAATGTCTAATTTGTTTATTTAAATATGTAATTCATAGTATATGAATACAATGTAATATAGGAAATTCATTATAATTGTTACTAATTTTTTTTTTAAACAGTAACCAAGTATTTTTGTTGCAAATGGTTCTAATATATTTAATGATGCACATATATACAAGATCAATGAATGAATTAATGGTACCAGTCATATAGGTGCTTTGCTCAGTGTTCATTTAGTTCAATCATTATTGTTGAATAAATTATTATGAATAAAGAAATTGCTAATTTAAGAATTTAGATAAATTTTGATTATAATGTAACCCAAAGATATTGGACGATTGAAAAATATGATGTAACCCAAAGATCAAAATGCTAAAGAAAGTGTTTTGGTTATTCAACAGTTTGAAGCAACAATTTGTTCAAACCCACTGAAAATACAAACATTGCAATTTACAATATTTTCACTTAGCGTTTTTGATAATGATTTCGCCAAAACATATCTATATTTTAAAAAAAATTATTATTAAAACAATTATTATTATTATTATACCCTTAGATCATTTTAAATGTTAATTTAAACAACTAATTTTTTAAATATCTTTTTACCAACCGTTGATATAATTCGCTGGTCAAATCCGCTAATATAATCCGCTAACGCTAACCGCTAACTTCTGATTGTCAAACAAGGACATTGCGAGATAGTTTCTCACTTCAATTTGTTGTGTGATTTGAATAATCCGTTTGTCAACAAATCCCTCAAGTAATTAATATGATTGACTTTATTAATTTAACATTTTTAAATTTTTCATGGTATTAATAAAATACTTGGTAAATAAATATATATCATTATTTTGTATTATAAATTTGATATTTAATTAAAAAGTAGTGCACATAAAAGATAATAGACAATGTAGTGAATATAATCAATTGATGATGAATTTGAATGTGATAGGATATATATCCCGACACCGACCACTTGTATTCCATGGGGCACGTTTATAGTCAGGTCAGGGATAAGTGATTCGGGACCCGGTCCACGGGTCAAAGTCGAAGGTGACGGGTCAAACCCGCCACCTCCCTCAGCCTATAAAAGGGGCTTTACCCCTTCAATTAAAGGGTCTTGGCCCCTTCATCTCCATTATTGGTATCTCTCCATAGTCCACTTGCTTTACCTTCTCTCTACCGAAACCAATACTAAGATAAATAAAAGAACCCTATTTTGCTGTATCTTGTCTTCCTTGTTCATACACATAACATCCGGGAATTAGTACTATCATAATGTAAAGAATTTTTACATTGGAGAAAAATAAAAACAATATAACTAATGAAATTATTTCTCTTAATTAATTTATTGATAATGAATAATTTTTTTAAATAAAGACATTGTAGGGATAATGTAGCGAATATAATCAATTGATGAATTTAAATTTTGAATTTAAGAATTTTTATATTGGAGAAAAATAAAGACAATATAACTAATGAAATTATTTCTCTTATTTAATTTATTGATAATGAATATTTTTTTTTTGAATAAAAGCATTGTAGACACATAATTCTAAATTAAATAAATGCATATGCATTATTTTTGTTGTAGCTACTAAATTATTATTTAATTTAATAAGAAATAAAATAGAGTACTAATTATGCCAACTTTGATTGAGATGAGGTTCGAACCTAAGACCTTTCTTATTGAAATCAATGAGTAAGTTAACGGTGAACTAACAGAAACTAACGGAAAAGATAATATTTAACGGAAAAGTTAACGAATAATCATATTCATTAAGGATAAATTAGGAAATCTCAAGAAAAAATTAAAATCTGATCAATCTGAGCCATTCATTTGATTAAAAAATTCGACCGCCATTTTTTCTACCCATTATAGGCCTAACTCTCTTGGACTCTTATTAGTATAGTAGATTTTTTTATTTTTTCATGGTATTAATAAAATACTTAGTAAATAAATATATAGCATCATTTTATATTATAACTTTGATATTTAATTAAAAATCATTTTGTATTATAACTTTGATATTTAATTAAAAAATAGTGCACAAAAAAAGATTTTATTTAACGGAAAAGTTAACGGATAATCATATTCATCATTAAGGATAAATTAGGAAATCTTAATGGAAAATTAAAATCTGATCAATTTGAGCCATTCATTTGATTAAAAAATTTGACTGCCATTTTTTCTACGCATTATAGGCCTAACTCTCTTGGGCTCTTATTAGTATAGTAGATTTTTTTCATGGTATTAATAAAATACTTAGTAAATAAATATATAGCATTATTTTGTATTATAACTTTGATATTTAATTAAAAAAATAGTGCACAAAAAAAGATAATAGACAATGTGGTGAATATATATAATCAATTGATGAATTTGAATGTAAAGAATTTTTAAATTGGAGGAATATTGGCTCTATTTTGGTCAAACACGGTGGATTTGAGTGTTAAAGGTTATTCTTCTAATCATGTGGATGCGGAGATAAGGATGGATGTTGGTAGTCCAAAATGGCGCTTAACGGGGTTTTATGGGTACTCGGATAGGGGTCGTAGAAGAGAATCCTGGCAGTTGTTGCGCACTCTCTCTTCACTCTCGACATTACCGTGGGTTGTTATGGGGGATTACAATGATATTCTGGACCAGTCTGAAAAGTATGGCCGAACACCGCACCCACAGTGGCTGATTAATGGGTTCCGGGATGCAGTAGCGGATAGTGGGCTGGTGGATGTTCCTTTTAGTGGGCATCAGTTTACTTGGGTTAAGTCACGGGGCACGGATCATATGATAGAGGAAAAGCTGGATCGATTTCTTGCTAATGACAGTTGGTTGAACATGTTTGAGGGAGCGCAGGCACTTTCATTGTCAACTACCTACAGTGACCATCTTCCTCTAGTAATTACGCCAGTCATGCGGCCTAGAACTCGGAGGAAGGCGAGATTTTGCTTTGATAATATGTGGATAAGGGAGGAGTCGCGTAGGGAAATTGTGGCGCACAGTTGGGACCGAACAGTGGGACTGGGCACGTTGGAAAGGATAGAGCCATGTGCTCGGGATATCTCGAGATGGGGGCGGGGGTATAATAAGGAGTTTCAGCGGAAAATAGAGCATTGCAAGCGCCGGCTAGATGGGTTGATTTCATGTTGAGATTTAGCCGGTATGCGGGAATATGCTACTGTGGAGAAGGAGTTGCTCTTTTTGTTAGAACAGCAACACACATATTGGAAGCAACGAGCTAAGGAGCATTGGTATAGAGGTGGAGATACGAATAGTAAGTTCTTCCATAATTCCGTGAAGGCCAGACGACGAAAGAATGCGATAAGGAGGTTGCGGGATGAGTCCAGGGACTGGGTGGAGGAGGAAGTGGCGTTGGATGGGATTATGGTAAATTATTTTGCTAATCTGTTTGCACCGGATTATGGGGATATGCAGGAGGTAGTGGATGCTATTGGCGAGAGGGTTTCTGAGCGTGATAACGCATGGCTGTTGCGGCCTCTGAGTATGGAGGAGGTTCGTGCAGCTGTTTTTCAGATGCATCCGGATAAGTCCCCGGGGCCTGACGGCTTTGGCCCAGGCTTTTTTCAATACTTTTGGGATGTTGTTGGGGGGGGGGGGAGGGGGGGGGGAAGTCACGGCTTTCTGTAGGAGGTTTCTGGAGACGGGCAGGTTACCTGACAAAGCAAACGAAACTCTCATTGTCTTGATCCCTAAAATAACGAGCCCAGAGACTATGAAGGACCTTCGCCCAATTGCGCTGTGTAATGTTGTGTATAAGGTGGCGGCTAAGGTGTGTGCTAATTGAATGAAGTCCCTTTTGCAGAATATGATATCACATGCGCAGAGTGCGTTTATCCCAGGTCGGTTAATTACAGACAATATAATGCTGGCTTATGAAGTGCATCATCACTTGAAGCGGAAAACCCAGGGTAGGGAGGGGCTGGTGGCTTTGAAGCTTGATATGTCGAAGGCCTATGACCGGGTAGAGTGGCCGTACCTCCAGGCGGTGTTGTTGAAGATGGGGTTTGACAGGAGGTGGGTGGATTTATTGCTGGAAACTGTCACATCGGTACGGTATCATGTTCTTCATGACCAGCGGCAGCTAGGGCCTATCACTCCGGGTAGGGGACTGAGACAAGGTGATCCGCTATCCCCTTACTTGTTTCTTTTTGTTACAGAGGGGTTGAGCGCATTGATCGAGAAGAGGATGTCTATGGGCCTTTTACATGGGGCGGTTGTAGCCAGGGGAGCCCCTACTATTTCACATTTGCTCTTCGCTGATGACTGTTTCCTATTTCATCAGGCGAGTATTGATGAAAGTGTGCAGATGAGGTATGTGTTAGACACTTATGCTAAGGCTTCTGGCCAATATATAAATTACGACAAATCAGCTGCTTGTTTTAGTGCTAACATACCACAGAACATGCGGAATGAGGTGGTGGATATTCTCGGTGTGGAGGAGGGGGACACTAGTGGAAAGTATTTGGGACTGCCTTCATTAGTAGGGAAGAAGAAGAAAGCTATTTTGGGGTTTCTGAAGGATCGAATCCTATCACGGATTCGGTCTTGGAATTCCAAGTTCCTGTCCAGAGCAGGAAGGGAGGTTCTACTGAAGAATGTAATCCAAGCTATGCCAACATATGCAATGATGGTCTTCTTGTTACCCATAGGGCTATGCCGTGAAATTCAGAATATAATGAACCAGTATTGGTGGACAGGAAGAGTAGGGGATGGCCGTGGTATAAAGTGGCGCACTTGGGAGGGATTGTGTAAGCCGAAAGCTGTTGGTGGGATGGGCTTTAGACGGTTACATGAGATGAATAAAGCCCTTCTGGAAAAACAGGCCTGGAGGCTGTTAACTAGACCTGCAAGCCTGGTTGCACGAGTGTATAAGTCCAGGTACTATCCGAGTTGTGACCTTTTTGATGCAAGAGAAGGGAATAACCCGTCATATATCTGGAGGGGTTTGATGGAGGTGAAGGGCTGTTTGAAAGAAGGTAGTAGGCGGGTGATTGGCAACGGGGAAGATACTATAATTGGCTCCGATCCGTGGTTGCCTGTTGATGCTAACCCGTATGTGGAGACTGATCTACATCAGACGATTTATGATGCTCCGGTGTCTTCACTCATGGATTTGCAAGGTAATGCTTGGGATGTAGATTGTGTGAGGGATATTTTTGGTCCTCGTGATGCTAATTTGATTTTAAATATTCCACTCAGTATTAGGAAGCCACGGGATCAGTGGTTTTGGAATTGGGATCAGAAGGGTGCTTACACTGTTAAATCTTGTTACAGGCAGCTTACTATGGTGGCTGGGGATGATCGGCCATGGTCTACAATCTGGAATCTACACATTCCGCCGAAGGTGAAAAATTTCTGCTGGCAGTTAGCATCATCTTATCTCCCTACCCGTTATATTTTGATGACTAAAAATGTTGCTTGTGCGTTGAATTGTCATATGTGCAGACATGTTGAGGAGTCTGGCCTTCATTTGTTTGTTCATTGCCCGCAAGTAGTTCAGCTCTGGAGTAAGTTAGGGATGCCACATATCAGTACTTTTCACGGTAATTATCTTGCTGACTGGTTTTTTTGGGGTGTAAATTCTTTGAATGATAGTGTCTGGAAGGGTGTTGTTTTTTATTTGAATATAGTGGTCCAGAGAGCTTTGTTGTTTCTTGATAATTGGAGGGCTGTGAATGAGGTGGCTACAGGACAAGCTGTGCAGGAGGCTGTAACACGATGGACCAAACCTGCCCAAGGGAGACTGAAATTGAACACGGATGCGGCGTTACGGGTGGCTGATAATGTAATGGGGCTGGGTTGGGTGCTACGTGATGATAATGGGAATTTCCTTGCAGCGAAGAATGTGGTGATGCCCGGGATCTTTACGGTGAAAGAAGCGGAAGCTTTGAGCATCAGGGAGGCTTTGAGCTGGTTAAAGCATACAGGAATGGGTAACGTGGATGTAGAGATGGACAGTCAGGTAGTCTGTCATGCAATTAGTTCACCACCATTTAATTCGGCTTTTGAATTTATTGTTGATGATATTAGAAATTTAGCACTAGAGATAGATGATGTTAAATTTTGTTATGTTAAGCGATCTGCGAATGGTGCTGCCCATGCTGTTGCTAGGGAGGCCTTTTCTGAGTCAGGTTGCGGAGAGTGGTATGACTCTCCACCATCTTTTCTTGTAAACGTTATTCTTGGTGATTTAATGAATTAATCTCTCGTTTTCAAAAACTAATAAAATTATTTCTCTTAATTAATTTATTGATAATGAATAATTTTTTTTAATAAAGACATTGTAGGGACAATGTAATGAATATAATCAATTGATGAATTTGAATGTAAAGAATTTTTATATTAGAGAAAAATAAAGACAATATAACTAATGAAATTATTTCTCTTATTTAATTTATTGATAATGAATATTTTTTTTTGGAATAAAGACATTGTAGACACATAATTCTAAATTAAAGAAATGCATATGTATTATTTTTTGTTGTAGCTACTAAATTATTATTTTTTAATTTAATAAGAGTAAAATATAGTACTAATTATGCCAACTTTGATTGGGATGAGATTCGAACCTAAGACATTTTTATTGAAATCCATGAGTAAGTTAACGGTGAATTAACAGAAATTAACGGAAAAGATAATATTTAACGGAAAAGTTAACGGATAATCATATTCATTAAGGATAAATTAAGAAATCATAAGGGAAAATTAAAATATGATCAATCTGAGCCATTCATTTGATTAAAAAATTTGACAGCCATTTTTTCTTCCCATTATAGGCCTAACTCTCTTGGGCTCTTATTAGTATAGTAGATCTTAAAAGTTTATCATCTAGAGAAAATACCAATTTTGGTCCCACGAGTATTAGCAAAATGACAGTTTTGGTCCACATGTTTAATTTCTACTAATTTTCTCCACAACTATTGTTTTAGTGCCAAAATTCGTTAAACCGGTCATCCCTTCGTTTAAGACATGCCGAAATATGAAATTATTAAGGGTAGTTTCGTACTTTTCAAATTAGGATCCCTATTTGAGCATGAATAAAGGGATTTAAGTCTTAAGATCTATCACAATTCGCATTTTTCCATCTCAAATTAAGGTAGGATGAGGAGGAGAATTGCGCATTGGGATCGATCTTAGGACTTAAATTCATTTATTTATGCTCAAATTGGAATCTTAAGTTGAAAATGACGAAAATGCCCTTAAAAATTTTAGATATCGAGATGTCTTAAATAGATGAGTGATCGACGTGATAAATTTTGGTACTAAAATAATAGCCGTGGATTAAAATTGGTACTAAAATAATAGTCGTGGATGAAAATTGATAAGAATTAAACATGTGGACCAAAACCGTCAATTTGCTAATACTCGTGGGACCAAAATTGGTATTTTCTCTTTTATCATCATACACTATTCTCATCAAACTCTTTGCACATGGTATTTATAGTGGAGTTTATATCTTATATGTGATCTGTAAGCTATTTCACTTGTGATTGAAATTTACATTGTACATACTTTTGAGTAATGACGGTACGTTCCCGTCGTCAAAAAAAAAAAAAAACAAATAATACACATAAAAATGCAAATAGTAGTCCGCACAGGCTTAACTCAATGGTTCAATATGCAGTATTTAAGAGAAGAAATTAAAGTTTGAATCTCGGCGGCGACAGTGTGGAAATTATGCCTAAAGTGAGTAGATCTCTTGTGCGGAGTCACCGTGATTTAGATCCTCTCCTATTGGGCCCGAGAAGAAGAAAAATGCAAATAGTAACATGCATTTACATATAAATACAACATTAAATTTGTACCAAATTAAAGAACTCTTATAGTCTACTAGTCTAGTGCTATGAAATAGATCACATGGGATCATAAATAAATTTGTAAGTCTTGGTTACAACTTCCAAATAAATAAATAACAAAATTCAAGAAAGTATAACAACTGCATATGGGAGATGTAAGAGCAACATTATAGACTTATAGGCATATCAAACCTACTCCCAACTAGAAAATTTGTTGTGAGGAGTAGAGTACGTCATGGAACTAAATTAAAGACCACACTCTATGTAGAGGTTGGAGAGGTACCAGTTCAATTCAAAGTGGACACAAGACAATAAAGATGATTGCACTAAACTCTCCATAACCATTTATGATTTATAGTGTGACATTCCTCCACACATCTTGGCACTATTTGGTAAAAAGTTGTTAGCTGATTGGATTAGAGGGTATGATTAGTTGATAACATTAGCTAATTGTATAAATATGTTTGGTAAATAAGCTGTCGAGTGATAGCTGTTTAGTATAATTTCTTTTTTCAAAAAAACTAATTAAAAAAGTTGTTTTGAGCAGATTTTTGAATTTTAGCATTTTGAAATTACAAAAAAAAAACTGATTAACTAAATTTTATATTAATTTTTTAATCAAGTCAAACAACTAATAGTGGTCAAATAAGTCAAAAATTAGACTAATAAACTAACTATTTTGGCCCTTATCTTCTCAAAATTAAAGATTGCATGCCGATAGCAACGATGAATCGCCATCATCGCAATTGAGTTACGCATACACAATTACACCTCATATAATTACTAAAACATTTTTACTTTATTGGGACAATTCAGTCAAGTTGATCGGCCCTAACTTGGTAATCACTTCTTAATCTGAACCGGCCAATTATAGACAATCTAAAATGATTTACCTTCTTTTGATTCTTTGTCCGCTAGTTAGGAGTACAGTCAACATGCCTGTAATGATGAGTAGGCATGGAGTTACAGACAAAATTGCCTAGAATTATGCAAATCCCATCCATGAATTGTCAAACATGATGAAACCTTAATCTCCCATTGCAAAGAACCATGTGATCACATCAGTTAATTAAGAAAATTAAATTAAGGGAAAATGGCACTTTTTCCCCCTATGTTATATGCTTATAGCACTTTTTCCCCCTGAGTTATTCATGCATCCACATTTGCCCCCTCAATTATTATAAAAGTGGCGGTTTTTCCCCCTGATAATATTAAATAGACATTTTTACCCTTAAATACATATTTTATTTATTTCTCTTGTTTAACAAATTATTGTTTATACGTAGGGATGGCCATGGTTCGGTTCGAACTGAACCGAACACTATAGCAATCAAATAAAAAAAAAATCGGTTATGATTCATAACATAACCCAATATTTGGGTTTCCGTTTATTAAAATTAATGTATTTTATTTTTTCAAATTGTGGTTATAATTTGTTAGAGAAGTAAAATAAAGGAAATATTTATTTTAAGGGTAAATATGTCCATTTAATATATCAGGGGGAAAAATTGTCACTTAAATAATATAGGGGGAAAAAGTGCTATAAGTATATAACACAGGGGGAAAAAGTGCCATTTTTCCTTAAATTAAAGGTAATTAGCACTTAAGAACTAGCTGGATATATAGGACAAGTGGACAACCTTAAAGCTGAAGTCATCCTAAATCACATTCTATTACACAGCCTTTTTACTATACAAAAAAGTGACCACCGCCCAGAAATCATGCAAATCCTTGTCCTCAAACCATTCAACTTTTTGGATCAAAAGCAGGCTCATCATCATTAATCGCCAGCTCATCAGCAAGTTTGAGCCAGCGTGTCCCACACGTCACACATTCATTCATTATCTGGATGCCACGCCAGACGGTATTGCACAGTTGGCAATTGGCAAAGCCATACGTCTCAACCAAACGTACAACCTTAGCTTTAACAAGTTAACTAAGAAAACATTATCATATATAGATCATACATTGTACACTATGACAAAACATGGCAGCACAGCCCTAGGATTGAACACCCACAGTTCTTCTTCTTCGTCAAGTCTCGGGTGGGCCCCATTTTCGCGGCCCACCAAGGAATCGAACCCGGGATCGTCCTTGTCCACCACGTCCGGGTCAGACCCGACCCGGCCGGCGATGACCCGGCACACTAGCATGGCCCGCTTCACGTGCATGAACTTGAACTCTTCCTCGATCTCCTCCGGCACGGCCGCGTGGGCCCGCCACCCGGACGACTGCGTCGAGATTCCGTCCATCTTCGGGGAGAATCCGGTCTTGATGATCCCGCAGACGCTGCAGTACTGGTTGGTACATACGCCGGAGGCGCCGTTCTCCCCCAAGCCGCAGAGGAAGGTGGCGCAGTGGAACCTTAACAGTTCATTGCCGTCGGCGATGCACCTCTCGTCTCTCCGCCTCCCGGCGATGTTCCGGGCCGCTTTCGACTTCACGTGCTCTCTGTATTCCTCGAACCGGGTCAGGATCTTCGGGCTGTTGTGAATCTTTAAAATCCGGCGGATCACCGGATTCTTCGCCGTCTCCGGCCAGCCGGTTTTGAATATGATCTGGACAATGTTGTTGCCGGAATCTCCATCCACGAGCTCCGAAATCGCGTGCTTTATGAACTGGTGCTGCTCGAGAAGATTGGTGGCGAGGAAAATCTCGCCGCAGAGGGTACAGGGGTAGATATTGTTCCGGAGCGGGATGTTGGGTTGGTCGGAGCAGATATCGGAAAGGGGATCAGGGGAGAGCTTGTCCGGCGAGGCTAGCGGGATGACGATGGGTTTCGTCAGGGATCTAGAGGAGGAACACGGCGACGGGATTGACGGGTGGGGAGGAGGAGGAGTGGCGGCGGCGGCGGGTCTGGCCGCGCAGCTGAAGAGTCTCTTAACGAAGGACCAAGACGCAGAAACAGCTCCGGCGGTGGATCGTTTGAGACGAGAAGAAGAAGAAGAAGAGGAAACCTTTCTGTTCCTACCGGAATTTTGCGGCGGCTGATCAGGGCGGTCGTTGTCGGCGACGGCGGAGGAGGAGGAGGAGGAGAAGATGAAGCAGCCGAGATGGAGCAGGAGGAGGCCGAGAAGAGACAAGAACATAGAGAACAACGGACGCAAGCAACTGGGTTTCGCCATTACTGCAGATCAGATCACATATAGTGAAGTGTAAATGGCAGTTAAGAATTTGCGTTGGAAAGGAGGAGATGATAGAGAGCAGTGGTGGGAGGTGCCATGAATGAGTGGCGCTAAGCTGGATTATTGGGAAGATATGAAATGGAATGATGATGGAAGGGGAAAGGAGGGATTGAAGCTAGCTAAGCTAGAAGACGGAGAGGAAAGGAAATGTAGGGACATGGAAGAATAAAGTTATGGTTTGGTGGAAGGCAACTTCATATCAAACCCTTTCTTTTAATTCTTTGATTATATATATTTCTCTTTTTATTCTTCTAATCTAATAACACCCTATTTATAATGATTAATTAATTTCGACAATGGGTGATTGAGTCGGTGGAATATGTTCAGTTCATATTATAATTTTTTTAATGTCATTTACCTCTTATGTGTAGTGATTACGAATTTCCTTGTTACCAAACAATAGTTTATTAACCTTGGTTCCACATGTAATGATACAAATGAGTTTATCAAATGTTTCCTTTTAAATACTAGTCATGGACCATCTTTCGAGTGCTATATTCAATTTTAATTTGAAATGAAGCTACTATCAAATCTCAGAAAGCATATAATATATAAACATAAATGTACAGTTAACTATTAGCTTAATTACACATATGATACTGTTACATTCACATAAAATCGAATGTAGATAAAAATAACTTGTTTTCTTCAAATTATAAATAAAAATGGATCCTATATGGTATTTTGTTGGTGATATTTAAGTAACGAGGGAAGCTCATATCCATTACCTAAGGGTATATAATGGGTAAATTACCTTGAAGATAAATTCTTTATAAACACCAATATTACAACGTCTTGATCTTCGTCTCTTGATATACATTCTTGATTATTTTTAACTTACCAAGCGAGACATATGTTACAATTTATCTTATTCATAAAAGGCTGGATCCCCAACCCTAAGGGCCCGACAGAGTATTTGGAAGGATGTAAATCAGTAAATCACGGTGACTCAATGGATTCAGCGGACAGAGCCAAATACCGGTACGCACAAGGAATCTGCCCACTTTAAACATAATTTTCACACTGCCGCCGCCGAGATTCGAACCTTGATTTCTTCTTCCAAATACTGTTCACTGAAATCATTGAGTTAAACCCGTGTGGGCATATTCATAAAATTCAGAGTGAACACCTCGGGGTTGGAGTTGAAGTGAGCAAGCTTTATAAATTGTAGTGGAGCAAATACTACGTCGGTGATCATCGGCATGTGACTAGATGACTCGTGTTGTTGTCCAATTATGACCCCCCTACTGTACAATAGCTTTGCAGTATCTGTTTTTTTTTTTTTTTGGGTTATATATAAAGAAGGTTTAATTAATTAATTAATTAATTAATATTATATAGTTCCACTTCGACAGCAGATAGTGAAGGACTGGTTGGTGTCTAATTGTTTAATATAATGGGGGGGACATGGACATAGGGTGCTCTGTTGATGTATCATATCATCGCTTCCCTGCAGTAACGCCCGTCATGCACGCAGATGACATCATAATCTTTTCAGGATCCCACACCATTACTCAACTGTAAACTCTAATTCTTTGCCACCATTTTTATTTCTTCACTTTAGACCAACCTTATGAGATCATTTTTGGGGATTTTAGGGGTTTCTTAAGATGAATTGGATGAGAGCAGGAGAGTGATGAAAATGAATTTGTAGTAATAATTTAAGTTTTTGTGGGTTCTGCTAAAATAAAAAAAATAAATAAAAAGACTAGTATGCGATGCGCTCAACAGAGCGTCCAACGGATGACTGTATTAAACGTGCCCGTTAGGTGAGTGAGTGCGTCACGGTGGCTGCTATGAAATTTTTTTTTGTTTTGTCCTTTTTTTTTTTTTTTTCTTTTTCTTGGTGTGGGTTACACAAAAACTCTATTTTGGATTTGAGATGTTGATGTTGCTCTTAAAAAACAAATGAAATTTTACTTGATTTGATGTGGCGTTAATTAACCGATTATCAAATAAGAAGGACTCTTAATTTAATCACTACATACTCCTTAAGTTTATACAAGCTAGTCAACCTAATAAAAGCTCGTTTTGTAGGGGCTTGTATGCCGGAGGTTAGGGTGTGAGTGCTACCGAGTGATGGTAGCATTAGTAGGCTTTGTATTCATAACAATGCACGAAAGACAACATTTGCTCTGATCTCAATTATCACTAAATTTTGACCGTAAAATTTAAGAAAACACATGACCAATATACAATAATTAAACCTCTAACTTTACAATTACATAACAATACGTTCATTTATTAATTGTTCAAATTGTTAGATAAATTATCATTATTTAATTAAAAGAGCACATCAGATAAAAATTATATTATTCTAATTTGATAGAATTTTGAGAATCCGTTGGACCACCCATATCCATGGAAATCATATCCAGCAGTGTCCCATCCCCACACTCCAACCCTGCTCAGCTTTGCAGCTCATTTTGTACGTTAAAATGCACTAAGCACAATATATAATGGTAAGCACACCCATTTTAGCCAACCATAGGAATAAAATCTTCAAAACTTTAGACCCCATTGCTGTGGAAATTTCTAAAGCGACGCTACCGACCACCCTACCATTTATATTAATTATTCTCACCCAAAATGTAATTAAAGCAAAGGAAACCAACACTATAAAGCCACATAATTACTCCTTTAATTCTGGCGGGTATACCAAAATAAAAAACACTATATTTATATTTATAGCACTTATCTCTGAATTATTCATGTTCCATTTTAATCTCTCAATTATTCTAAGTAGTAAGTTTTTCTTACCCCAAAAGGCTGAATCCCCAACCCTAAGGGCCCCCTACACTCCGACCCAGGGCCCTCTACACTCTGACCCAACAGAGTATGTGAGAGGATGTAAATCACGGTAACTCAATGAATTAGTAAACAGGGCCAAATGTCTTACACTAAATATTTTATTTTATTTACAGTAATAAGTTTTCCTACTGATATGTTAAATAGACATCTTTACCTTACACTAAATATTTTATTTATTTATTTCTCCAAACCCAAAAGTTCCGGTTCGGATTTAGAACGGGAAACCAATATTTGGCTTTCAATATATAATAGGTGCAAGAAGTATAATTTCATGATATATAAGTCCCAATCAATTGCAGTACAGACGCGTTATTGCAAAAGTCTCCCAAGCAATTTATGCAAAATTTTCAATAATTAATATAGTATCCCTATTTGGTGAGAAGACAAGAAGAAAGGGACTGGAAAGGATGTCATTTTCGCAGTGATGGTAACTAACAGAAACACAAGAAGGTAAATCTAAAATCTTTTAACGACAACGAAAGGAGTAACAACTTACCATTGCCAATCAAACTCCAGACATATAGTTTCACAAGTTGTTATAACGTCAAAAAACACAGGCAACAAGAGAGTCAATGACACTGTAAAACTTAGTACCAGAAATAGGACTTGACCAGGCAAGCAGGTAAAAATGAAATAGGCCCCGTCAGACTAACTCAAATCGTCCATCAATTAGTTTTACCTTTAGCGGCAAGCTGGGTGAGGGTTCAAACTTCAAACTTCACTAAAAACCTAAAGAGTTTTCGGGACTAACTTGGAATCATTTGTCACAAGTCTTGAGACGGGTTCATGAGTTTAGGATATAGTTTAATGAAATCGGAAAATATGAATTAATAAACAAATTTTTTTTTAAAAAGTAAAAGTTAAGTAGATAGTATTAATTTGGTCACTTTTTTTCTCATTGCTTTTCTGCGAATTGGTAGGCCACTTGCTTTACTGGTATTTATATTAATCACTGTTTCATCACTTACGTTGTACTGTGTTCTTACTTTGTGGTAGACTGGTAGTTGAACCTGCTTTAATTTTTTTAAGATAAGAGAAATATTTTTTTTTTTCATTTTTTTTCTTCAACATTGATGGTGGGATATGTGGGACGGTAGAAGGACGATTGATTCTATATATATATTCTAGCAAGGGATAAAAATATACACTATTTTCAATATTTGTTGGACATAATTGATTGTGCCTTTCATGTTTGTAACATTCATAATGATATGTCATTTGACTTTGAAGTACTTGTTTCAATTTCGTATCAGATTTTAGTTCATTTCGCGTATATATTATTGTACAAAGGTTTAGAGGGTAAAATTTAGCATATTATTATTGCTAGTTGTTGCACAATTATATTAATTATAAGGAAACATAGTTTCGCATTCGCTATTAGTTATAATTTTTGGGGTAATATATGATAAATGTTTTTGTACAGTTGAGGCTAGCAAGTGTCGTGAAGAAATTATTGGACGACCTAGTACTGGCTTGTCGCTGAAAACGTGACCCTAGCTAACTATTATGCAAGTATAGTATTGGCAAACATTTTCAATCAAAGTGAAGGGAGCAAGTTGATTTTGTGGTGTATGTACTTGTATGCCATTATTAATGATGATAGAAATTGATGAGACACATACCAAACAACATCTTACATTTATTAAATATTGTTAATTGCCAATAATTATATTTAGCACTATATTACACTAATACTAGCTGCTATTACCTTATCCATTTTTGCTGTGATAATTAATTAATTAATTGCTTAAGATATTATAGTGTGAACAATGATAAAGGCATGGAGGCCAGGTCCACTCTAGCAACGCATGCCCTTAGATTAGGCATAACTTTAAGTTCATCACTTCATAAATTTACCAGCAATTATTTGTTTAATAATCTCATCATTGACTTAAGGTAAAAAAAAAATGACATTTTTTCTCTCAATTATTAAAAAAAAAATAGTGTTTTTAACTTAACCGTACCGTCATAAAATTTAAAGATGAAAAAGCCATTTTGTAACAATTGGATAAAAAAAAAAAGTTTTTTTGCGTGAAGGGCGAAAAGTGATAATAGTATAATATTTTAGAGAAAAAACAATGTTATTTTTCTATAATTTATGAATGAAAATTGTCATTTCTTTCAGTTTTTTTTAATTAAATAAATTTGGTAAATCTTATAAAAGTGGGGATGGTAAGAATGTATTTTTAAAGGGAGTCTTAGTTACATTGTGTTGGCTTTGAAGTAAGTCTAGTATTTTGTTATCAACCAGCATTAGAAACGTGACCAGTATCAACTATAACTTTTAATGTAGTGGTAAATATTTAGATTCCGACACCTCTCGAAAGACATGTTGTTGTAGGTGCTGGAATGGGCTATATCAATTATTATACTTGTATCGTTTTACTCATTGTTTCCAATATATATA